ATCAAAAATGAATCAGAATCAGAATTGTGTTTATTGGCCAAGTATATGTGCAGACACATACAAGGAATTTGGTTCCGGTAGATGGAGGCTCTCAAGCACAGCAATGTAAATCACACACACACACACACACACACACACACACACACACACACACACACACACAGTTTTTTTCTGAAAAACCATACAGTCAGCTGATCTTTTCATATTTGAAAAAAATGTGTCAAAAATACACTTCCTTACTTTGATAATCAAACATAATCCATAACTATGCCTCCCTTCCCTTTTGCCACTAAACTGCCATACAGTTCATCTTGCCCATAATTTAAATAATGCGAGTGGATGACAAGGTTTTCAGTACATCTCCACATGCTCCCACATCCACACAAACAATGCTGAGTCCCTGCTCTTGATCCTATATCGATTCTTGCCTGCTTGCTTTTGCTGACAGTGGCATATCTCAATAACACCAGCGTCCTCCACTACATTACCGGTCTGTCTCAACACTACACCATTCATAGTCCATTCAGACAGTAACGATTAAAAAGAGAACACTGTGACAAGGAGGTTTTAATTATCTCCAACATAAGTGCAGATTAGACAATTAAGAATTACTGTAATTCTTGCCAATAGGGATATTTACGTCACTGTGTCTTTCTGTTGCTAGTACAAAGATGTAAAAATAGAGTGGGAGTCCTAACTGCAAGCTCAGCATGGCTCAGTGCGATGAGAACACAGAATATTAGCACATTACAGTCTGACTGTAGGCAGAGTCTTGGTTAATCTAACTGTCAACACACTTAAGTCAATCATGACACAAGCAGTGAGTTCTCCTGCTTGTGCTTCTAGACCCTATTACGTCCCTTCCCCCCAATGATTCTGACCAGGGCAAAAAGAAAAAAGAAAATCGACCTAAGGGCAGGGCACAACATCATCATTTATTAATCCCCTGACAATCAGCAGTCTCTCTTCCTTACCCCGGATTCAGCTCAGGCAGCCCGTCTGAAGCTACACACCACTACATAAAAAGACTACTGCAGTTTGCTTTTGAAGCAAATAACTTTTACTGCTGCAAAACATCAACCGGTGCAGTAAATTCACCAAACACATTTCACCTCTTTGAACCATGTATGTGGATGGTATACAGTATGGTAAAACATGTCGTAGTGGTTTGCGCCAAGACAGAATAATATATTTTCTATAGTTTCAGATGGTGTAAAAAACCCAAACCGCTCAGCCCGCAGTTCATAAAATGTCTTGCTGAACATAAACTAAAGCAGTAAGCTTTGAAAGTCAGTATAGCAAAAATTACTTAATGACAAAGCACAATGTGGACTCAAAGGCTTTGGCTGTAGGGTTTTAATTATTTTTCACTTTCATGAGGTCTAGTGGTTTGGTAATCTTCTCTCTGGAGTGTAAGACACTGAGGACATAAAGAACATGGGCTTAGTATGAAGGAAGACAAATGGAAGAATTTGGAGCGAAAACTGCTTGCCTAGCTGTCTATTTGAATGCCAAAACACCTTACTCTATAAGTCACTTTTGATGCGCTGCCATTGCTCAGCTGTGGCTTGTTAAGTGAGCTGTAGACCAATTTATCTCTCTTGTCTAGAGCTAGTCGCTCTATTCCAAAGCTGTGCTGACTGATCCCCTTCCAGCAGAGTAAAATTACAGAGAAATTCCCATCGATCTATTAAAAACAAAGAGCAGACACTCTGACAAAAATATTTGGGTTCAAGACAACTCTGTAGACTTCAGCACAAAGCAGGAAAGATAAACCTAGCTAAAAACAAAAAGTCCAGTAAATGACAATTTCTGTGCCTCAGGCTCTAGACAGCAAAACTAGGTAGAAATATGACCAGTTTGGTGATGCTATGATCTTGACCAACAATCCAACACATTTATTTATTTATTTATTTTAAATGATTTTATCTTTAACTTTATCTTTAACATAATCCCAAATCCTGACTTAGTGTCCAAATCTGGTCCCGAAAAGCAGCTCCAGTTAAGCCCTGTCCTGCTTAATAAACGTGTTTTGCTAGATCCAGACACTCCTGTCTTGGCAGGCTGCCTAGCTCTCCTCTCATTCACTCTTTATTTGGTTGCCAGTTCTCTACCTCCCTCTCTCCCTCATGTCTCCCCTTCATCTCTCTCTAACACGCACACCAGCACGGCCAACAGAACGCTTTCAAGGGGTGGCAGTGCGTGCAAAGTGACTCTGGCAAGGGCCTGCTTCTGCCAAACCAATCAACATACATGATTCACTTATGGCAGGCCTGGGGCCTCATTATCCATGTTCAGGACAAGACAAGAGGGAAAGAAAAGGCTAGTGGGTGAAAGGCGGAGAGCAGAAACAAGATGAGGAAGAGAGGGGAAGCCAAAAATGAGCACTAAAGAAATTACTGTATGAATGAATGAAAAAGAAGAATCCAAGCAGTATTTAGTTAAAGACCATGCATTCCTTCTTTTGCAATCCAAGATCCAGATCAGATAAGCACTTTTAAAACTCCGTTTATGTCTCTATATTCCTTTGTTTTTCCAGAACTGGCTACTCATAAGTCAGTGGGATATTCTGTACAGCCAAGAACATGAAAACATGCTAAAGGGAGGATAAAGAGGGAAGGAAGTAGGGCAGGAGTGGGGCTGCTGAGGTATTCTGAACTCAGCTCCAAGTTTCATTCCCCTGTTCTGTGCTTTGTTTGACAATTATGGAAAACCTAGATGGGGGCAGGAGCTTTGAGGCAGGGAAACTGACCCGTTTCATGTAGACGCATTCCTAATGATGGACTAACCAGGGCACTGGCGGTCCCTCATGCTACCTTGTCTGCTCCTATCCGGGACACTGACAAGCTGTCCTTGGCCAGTTCTCTCTTTTCGCAGAAGTGTATTCCTAAGTTGAACACGGTTTATAAATTACGGCCCAGCCACAGAGAGTATATTTAAAAGCCCGTCTGCTCAGATGATCAGGTCAATCGGAACAATTGGTAACCAGATATTTCAGTCATTGGTTTCTGAACACATTCCTCCCATTCATTTCCTTTCGCAATGGTTGCATTGTTCTGACTACGTGACAAACCTGGGTAACTCCTGCAACTATCTGACCCAATTCTGATACAGGACTGTATATGAGGAGAGCGCTCAACCCGTCGCTATATGATGCCGGCCTCTTCCACTTCCCTGAAACGTGGACAGGATGTCCACTACTTGACCTTCATGCTCTATTTTGCTGTTGTTACAAAAATGAGGGCACGGAAACTGTTGATTGCAACACGAGTTCAGCGAGTACCGTAAACGCCATCTGAATAAGTCACTGAGGTTCTTTAGAAATAAAGGGAAGTCAGAGAGTTAGTGTTAAAATGGACAAGAATGAATGGAAGGTGGTTCCAGTGAAATGGGGATAGCTGTTGGAAAGCAAGGAATAATAAACCAGGAACATGTGAAGGTAAAAACCCAAGGTCACAGTGTTACTGATACCAAGGCATGACTGAATTACCAATCAGTTCAAGCAGGCAGTTACCTTCAGCCCTCAGGGTATATGGGATTCAAGTGAAACACCGTACTCCAGTTAGTTTTGTAATTAAAATAAAAATGATAAAGAGAATTTAAACATTTTAAGGATTTTAATGAATTTATTATGCCCTGTGATTTTAGCAGGTAACATTCAGTAATCAAGAACAAATTCCACTTAAAGCCTAGTTAAAACTGTCCAATGCACTGCAAACATAGGCCTACAAGCTGATCAATTCCCTTTCTTAATGCCAGCATGTTTTCTGACAGCTCTGAAGCTACACAGGACATTTTTTTTCATTCTGAAAACTGGTCAGGTTTTAACAACGTAAACTGACAAAGAATTTGACAAGGAAGTGAAATGGTCAAGGCATCGTTATCAATACACATGAATTAACAACACGTAATGCACGCACAACTGTAGCAGAGACCAGTCTTTTTTAAAGCCATTGCAGGCTTTAAACCTGTGCCTTCAATGGGCAAGAAAGGTCATAACTGTAAGTTGCAGAATTAAATGTGCCAATTTCTGCAATCAAATGGCAAGAAGTTGAACAGCTTCTTTTATCCTAACAATTCAGCCACCTGCAGGGAATACAGCTAAAAAAAAAAAAAAAAGCATAATTTTTATATTACACAAGGGGAACAAAGAGAAAAACTGGTCAATTGTAAAAATTATTAGTAACTATTTATTTCCTCGCCTAGGTTCGCACCAGCGTATTAGTAACCCAGCAGCCCAGCAGGCCTAAGCTGCATCTGCATCTGATGATGATCAATTTCTGAGCAACAAGGAAGAGAAAATAAGAATCAGTCCAGTTCAACAGACGAATGAAGATGCAATGGAAGGGCCGAACAGTGACGTACGAGAGAAGAGGGTGAGAAAAAGAAGAGGTGAAAGCAGAGGGGCCTCCCAGGACTACTGTTGTTCTGAGGAGTCACAGAACAGCAGAAGGATACAGAAGTAAAGCTTTGTAGAAGAGGTCC